TTCATGCATAGTTGAAAGTTTTATCTGTTATATAGTTTTATCCGTCACTGTAAAGCGTATAGAAATTTGAAGTTTTAAACATATTAATGTCTTTATATTTCTTGCCCTTGAGCAGCTTATAATCATTACAAAATTTGATATGCCAAATTCGGACTTTTGTTGCTGAATTTCTAAGGCATTTACTAGTTTTGTTAAAAAGATGACATTAGACTCTCCTTAAATTTAGTTCTGTGTCACAAAAAAACAATTAAAACAATGAAAAGTATTAAAAGCCAACGAAGGACTGATTGTGACAACTGACTCAAAAAAGTTTTTTAAAATGTACAAGCAATAAACATTAAAAGTTTTGAACGTCCAAAAAGTAATAGAAGAAAGCCTTAAATATATTTCAGTCCTCAACAGACAAGTGCATGAAATACAAAGTTAGACTTCTCTCAAAAGGTCCACACGTAAGTCGACGAAATGTTTATTGTTGTATGCTTCGAAACTACTACAGTATCTTTAGATGTGTTTTTCTTTTTTGACCACAAAATTACAGTAAATTTATAATTTTTGAAGGTTTTTCAGGTGACTAAATAAGTTGAAACAGCAACAAGAACATCAAATTTGGAAATAATTTGTAAGAACAAATACCTGCGTTAAACTGGCTAAGCTTCTAATAATTCAAAAAAATCTTTATAAATACCCTTCTCAAAGAAAAAATCTCGTTAAAAGTAAAAGACATCAAATTCCACTGATAATTACTGGTAAAACAAACTTTTATTTGCAGTCAGAACATTACGTGATTCAGACTTTCTCTTTTTTTGCTGCACAAACAATACTTGATTAATTCTCTATGTCGTTTATACAGTTATTGTTTTCATATTAAAAAAAAAGAAGCTAAATAGAATTTTAAACAGTTTCAAAAAACAGACTTCAAAAAATTCAGTTCTCTCGCAACCAATTTTGATAGCAAAAACTGAAACTTCTTGTGACAGTTCAAACTCAACTGAATGACTGCGGCAAACCATTCAAAAGCGTCACCGGAAGTGGATAAGCTATTGCATATCTTACATAAATTTATAAATAAAGTGACTTAAAAAAGTGCGTATAAAACGCTTCAAACATTAGCATAGAAAATCTTGAAAAGATTTTGAAATGAAAAACAGAAAAACTTTCTCACAGTTACTCCCATTAATTATTTAACCAAAATGAAAATATATTAGGTCAAATTTTTTTTAGTTCTTTAAAATCAACTACAACAGAGTTACTAAAAACACTATTTCACTTAAATTGAAATAACAAAAATGCTTTAGACGTTGAAAATATAATAATAGCTGTAGAAATATTCTAAGAAAAAAGAAGAAAGAAGCATTTTATAAAGTAATCTGATGACTAGACAAAGTTTTGATAAAATCATGATTTAAGCAACAAAAAACCGATACTCAATTAATGATCCATCTTTTACAAGCCTTTTCTAGACAATAAAAAAATTTTTAGAACCAATAACTACTTCAGCACTAATTATAAAAAACAAATATAAACTGCAAGCATCAGCACAAAATTTATTTTAGACAAAAAATCATCAACTGTTTTGAATTTATTATAATCTCTTTTTTTTTTTGTGTTGAAAATTACTTATTTAGGGTTTACAAAGCTGTTTCAATAATAGCAAAGCTGTCCTAACTTTTCAAGCTTTTTGAAAAAAAAAAAACAATAATATAACGGTTAATGCTATAAGATTATCATATTTACTGTTTGTTTACATTGATAGCAATTTGCGAACAAATCTTACCTTATAAATACATCTGCCACTGTAACTTACCACTTCACTGCAGAACTTAGTAACTGCACAGGCCAAGTTAGCATTCCAAAATGTTACGGTCGCTTGCCATTCTTCTGCTCTTAGTTGCCTCTGTTAGTGGAGAAGGTGAGAATTTCAAAAAGAATTTGCCTTAAAACTGTGCGATTATCATTCTATTCAAAGAAAATTTCCAAGCAGAAAATTACGATAAAATAAAATTAATAGCAGAGTACTACAAAATCGCGCTACTTTCATAAGATTGCTTTTCTGTGTAGAT